AAATAAAAAAGCAAACCCTGCAAGTGCTTCAGTGAATCTTTCAATTTTTTCTTCTTCACAAATCCTTCTTCATCTGTCAATAAATGGAACTAAATTAATGTATTGATTTATTCAGACTTGTTGTACATGTCAATCAATAAATATCATAATGTAAACTTACTAATCACATCAACTTCCCACGCAGTCCTTGTTTTCTTTTTAGATAAAGATTGCAAATCTTCATTTTGCTCTTGTGGTGTTTCACTATCTTGAGTTTGCTCTTGAGGTGTTTCATTATCCTGAGTTTGTTCTTGATGAGAAATTGACCGACTCATATCCATGAACCTTTTTGATCTTGGCATACCTACACATTAAATAAAAAATTAGGGATTATAATTGGCCGTGAGTTGGTCATGACTCATGAGAAACATGACTTATCAAGTGTGGAACTTCAATTGTTGCGTCATTCATACTCCTATGTATCACCCTATAACCCCTTGTGTCGAGGACTTATCAAAATCCAAAAATTAGCCTTTTTCCCGACCCAAGTTAAACCTCTAAATTCGATTTCATCTAGCCTAATAAACTCATTTTAAAGTATTTTTTAAATTAGAGTGTGAAGAGAAGATTAGGACAATCAGGTTCAATTCGCATCATAATCCCTCTATAATGGCATGCGGCAATGACATGCTAACAAGTGAAGAATAAGGATCCGAGTAGCCTGGCCTGTTCCACTTTCTCATCTGTGTGCCACTCGTGCACATTAGGCACCGGTGGTAACGCGTTACCGAGTATCTTGCTCGTTGTCACAGCTTCAGGATCAGGCCAAAATCCAACAATCTGTCACATTCTACAATCCATTCATTACGTACGTGAGCGCTTGTCTTTGTCAGTAATCGTAGGCCCGTCAACTTTCAAACCAAGTAACACTTCAACGTCTTGAAGTGTTATGTTGACTTCACCAAATTAAAAGCAAAATGAAAGGCATGCACCTCTGGCCATCACCTCTCTATGAGTGTTGCGGTGAGGCCATGATCAAGATTAATACGACGATCTAAATGTGGAACACCGTAAAATTCTACTGTCCTTAAATTTGCAATCATTTGAGGCTCTCGAGGTTCAAAAGTATACATTTGACCGTCATATCTATATATCCTAAATTGGGCATCAAAGTTTTAGTCATTCCAAATAGATACACATTGGTGCCTTGACTGAAATTCAAACATTGACGGATTAGCTCCAAGGTGGAATTCTCTCGCATACATAACTGTAAGAAATTATAATTATAATATATAATTATTTCATAATAATAATAGTAATGATAATAATAATAATAATAATAATAATAGTAGTAGTAATAATAATAATAATAATAATAATAATAATAATAATAATAATAATAATAATAATAATAATAATAATAATAATAATAATAATAATAATAATAATAATAATAATAATAATAATTCAAAAAATTTACAATTAGATCTTTGAACAACACAAATTCAAGCAATTGAACCTAAAGTAATTAACCGTTGATCGGATAATTAGATGACGTGACGGTTACTAAATTAATTTTTATTTAAAAAATTATTTTAATAAGTTTTAAATAAAAAACTTTAAAAAAAAAAAAAAAGAACCCCCCCCCCCCCTCCCTTGTCTCCGGCTTGGAGCTGAAGAATCTCTTTTCGTCTCCGAGCGGAGACGAAGGAGGGGAAAGGGGGTCCGCCGGAGACGCATGAGGAGGAAGGGTGGCTAGCAATTTTTCCTTTTTAAAAAAAAAAATATTAAATTAATTTTTTAAACAAACAACAGTAACCATTTAATACATTAGCTAGTCATTCCATTTTCCATGTTCAACTTCACACATACTATATTATGTTTTTAAAAAAATTGTCCTTTTTTCTTTTGAAATACCACAATATTTAAGTTAACCAAATGAATTAACCGTAATAATAATAATAATAATAATAATAATAATAATAATAATAATAATAATAATAATAATGATAATAATGATAATAATGATAATAATAATAATAATAATAATAATAATAAATATTGTAAAAGCAATTTAAGAGTTAATAAATTAGCACAATATATTTATCAATCTTTTATATGTTATTTAAATACAATCAACTAAAAGTAAATAACTATTTACCAAATACTTTTTTACAACCAGCTAATACTATCAGTTAGTCAAATCAGCTAACCCAATTAGCTATTAGCTAACTTAATCAGCTATCAGTTATTTGTCAAACACTCAAATCTTTTTTATTTTGTATCTTTTTTATACAAGTCATATAATTAGATAGAAATTTCTTTTAGGCCTATTGATATGGTAACCAATCATTGTCCACATTGTAAAATAGATAACGCACAGACATACAAGTTAAATTTTTAATATAATATACTAGAAGTTCATTTTTTTAAGATTCGGTTTTAGTGTACTAAGTTTATTTTTTAATATACTATCTAAATATGAACATATAGTAAATTAGAAAATGAACCTTCAATATATTACAAATGAACATTTATCAATGATCCCCTTATAATGTAAACTATGATCTAAAATATAATTTATTAAAATTAACTCTTTATACCTTGTACCAGCCTATTAGAGTAAATGGGCAATTTATATCATGGACTAGGTTCACACAGTATTGTGGACCCTGGATCAAAACGATGATGTATAAGTTTTAACAGATTCCGTAACTTTCTGTTTAATTTTTCATGTTTCAACACAAAATTTTAATTTATTCTATGCACAAAATCCTTACGCTTAATGTACAGAAATGCAAAACATGATACACAGAAACGCATAACACAATATACATACACATGTTTTCTATTTTACTTATTCTCAGATCTGATTTGTGTAAATAATTTATGTCATATAGACACATAATTACATAATACATAAGACATGAATTCAAAAAATAAGACATACAATGTGTTCTGTATTATACAACTACTAATCAATTTCATGCACAGAATCTATATGCTTAATGTACAAAATGTTGTAACATAATGCACAAAAATGTATAACTCAATGCACAAAAAATGCATAACACGAGATACAGACATATATTTTCTATTTTATTTATTTTCAAATTTAATTTATGTAAATAATTAATGGCATACCGTATAGAGTTTGTCGTGGCTTCAGGAGGTTATGAGGCCTATTGACACGTATATATATAGTAAGGTTTCCCTAAAATAGATATACCAAAACCAGAATTTATGTAAAGAAATATGAATTTCCTCATCTCTTGAACAACTAATCCGCCCACGGCTTCCACCACCGCTACTCAAAGCTAGCGGTGCAATTGCTTGCTTGCTTTACCGCATGAATGAAGCTAAGGAAGCCAACTCTAAACACATTTCTCCATTCTAAACCTGAGAAAGAAACAAATAATACCAACAACGTCATCCCCCATGCCAACCTGCAGGATGCCTTCTACTACCGTGTCTGCAGTTGTGCTTCTTCTTAGTTCTTACCCTAGTTGTCATTGTTATTTGTGGCATTGTATATGGCTTATTTCATGCCACCATGGCTGTAAAAAGGAGTTGGCACAAACACAATCATATCCTCAAGAAACTAAATCTTACTCAGATTTAATCCTTTACCTTGAACCTAGCAATACATTTTCTCTCATAATATCGGTACATTTAGTCCGTTCAACCAATTCATCATTATTCTTGTATCAATCGATCTTTATCTTAAATGTTACAAGTGTATATAGTGGTGTCCATTAATCACGTCGACATTGGATCCTTAGACATGAGCAACACCTTAGACGTCTCAATCTTTTGTAGAGGAGATGTTTGGAGGCACCAAGTCTTGCTTATAACTTGTTTAATTTGTATATATGTTGCTTTTATTTTGGCCCTGTTAGCGGATAGCTGTTAGCTGATTGTGTTAATTAAAGGATATAACTAGTTGATAACATTATCTGATTGTAGAAAAGTATTTGGTAAATTAGCTAACAGCTCATAACTGTTTGGTATAATTTATTTTCTCAAAAAGTTAATTGAAAAAGTTGTTTTGAACAGTTTTTAGAATTTTAGCATTTTGGAGTTACAAAAAGTTAGTTAATCAAACATTTATATCGATTTTTTAACCAGTCAAACAATTAATAGTAGTCAAATAAACTATAATTGACTGATAGAGTAACTACTTTACCAAAAAAAGTGCCTTTATGTGGCTTTTTGAGATTTGGTGACCATTTTAATCTTTGACCTTGTGAAATAAATTTCTTCAATGTTAGTTTTAACAAGCCTTCTTTTACAATACAATTATCAATTGGATATCTACTCATATGGTTTCTGGATTATAGCATTGAATTGTTTTCCTTAGCCACCGCATTTTCTTAGTCAGCTGCCAGGTTTCATAAATTTACACACATTAAATTGGGAAAATGTTTATTAAGATTGCTAATTTGTACCTTTTCCAAAATTATTAATTTTAGATAGTTAATTTATTAAATGAAATAATATAAAATTACAAATCGATTTGGTATTGTAATAGAACTAGAGTTTAAAATTGGAAATGCGTTTTTGGCCAAATTAAAAAAAAAAAAAAAAAAAAAAATCTTTCAAACCAATGTTTGTTTTAAGAAAAAGTATCCATGAGAATGGGCACATGCAACAGAAACAACAGGTACTTCAGTTTAAATTAAACATGATGCCCAATGAAAATCTGGGAACCAAAGGTTGTTAAATATTATTGAAATAAATAATAATGTATGTTTTAGTATTTTAGCATTATTTTATTACTTCTTGTTAGTGCTCAGTTAGTTTCTTAGTACGTGGTGTTAGTGCGCAGTTCATTAGTATATGGTTAGTTTTGTAATGCCTATATAAAAGGCTATCTCATGCACAATAAAGATATGAGTTTTACGTACTTCTGTTTCTCCTTATTTTATAACATTTGGTATCTGAGCCAGGTTAAATATTCATATGAGTAGTAGCTCTAAGTGAGAGGAAGTGAATATTGAGAGAGAGTCTTTTCGATAGACATGGCAGCTGAAAATTTTGTTCAACCCGCTATTCCTCGTTTTGATGGTTACTACGACCATTGGAGCATGCTAATGGAGAATTTCCTGAGGTCGAAAGAGCTTTGGTGTGTTATTGAGATTGCAGTTGCAGAGCCAACTGCGGGGACGTCAGAAGAGCAACAGACAAGATTGGAGATGTTGAAACTGAAAGATCTCAAAGCAAAAAATTATCTTTTTCAGGCCATCGAACGTCCCATCTTGGAGACAATCCTATGCAAAGATTCTTCCAAGAGTATATGGGACTCCATGCAGAAAAATTATGAATGTTCTACAAAAACAAAGAGGCAGGAGCTTCAAGCACTTCGTATAGAGTTCGAAACACTCCGCATGAAGTCGGGAGAGTCAGTTACAGAATATCTCTCTCGTACAACCGCGATTGTCAACAAGATGAGAAATCATGGTAGCAAAATAGATGATTCTGATGTTGTTGAAAAGATTCTTCGATCCAAGACACCGAAGTTCAATTTTGTTGTGTGCTCCATAGAGGAAGCTAACAACGTGGAAAACCTTTCCTAGATGAATTACAGAGTTCTTTAATGATTCATGAGCAGAAACTTATTCATCACGAAAATGAAGAACAAGCATTGAAGATCTCAACAGAAAATCATCCATCATCGAGGGGAAATAGAGGACGAGGCAAAGGTAGAGGTAGAGGAAGAGGAGGAAGGCGAGGTGACCATAATACCTCAACAACCCATAAACCGAGAGGCTTGTCAAAGGTTGAGTGTTATCGTTGTCACAAATTTGGCCACTATCAATCAGATTGTCGCACCAATCTGACTAAACCAGACGAAGAAAAAACCAACTTGGTAGAAAAAGAAGAGGAGGTATCTCTTTTGCTAGCGTGTCATGTGAATGACGAAACTCAACACATGTGGTATTTAGATACCGGATGTAGCAATCACATGTGTGGGGATAAGACGATGTTTTGAGTATCTCCCCTAGGGTTTGAAGGGTGTAGTGGAGCTGAAGTTGTATTCTCTCTCAAAAAAAAGAGATAACTTGAACTAAACATGAGAATATTATATAACCAAACAAAGATTCGATAATCTTTAGGGCGTTTTGTTCAAGTTATATAAGATAATCAAGGATATATTTGTTTGGAAATATATAGGCCCTGTTTGGTAAAATGGCTGTTAGCTGATAGCTGTTAGATGTTAGCTGATTATGTTAATTAGAGGGTATAAATAGTTGATAACATTAGCTGATTGTAGAAAAGTGTTTGGTAAATTAACTGTTAGCTGATAGCTGTTTGGTATAATTTCTTTTTTCAAAAAGCTAATTGAAAAAGTTGCTTGGAGTAGCTTTTTGAATTTTAGCCTTTTGGAGTTGCAAAAAGCTAATTAACCAAACATTTATATTGATATTTTAACTAAATCAAACAATTAATAGTGGTCAAATAGGCCAAAATTGGCCCATAGGCCAATTTTTTACCAAACAGGGATAATATTCTCATATGCAATTTTTTCCGAAAATGTAACATAACCTCCACATAAAGTTTTTAGCTATTACATATTTATTACATGGGAATGTGAGATACCCTTCCATTTCGTAGGTATTATCACATTCCCTTGTCTTATTGCAAATTTTGTCATTTTAATTCATTGCCTTAGTTAATTATTGTTCAATCTATTAGTTAATTAATTTTAAATAATTTATTTCTATATTTTACCACTACATTATTTATTTATTTTAATTTTAAAATTTATTAAAATACATAAAAATAGGTTAATGGTATTCAAGTAAAAATAATCATCATAACATAAAAAAAAAATAACTCTTCAACCAAACAGAGATTGCATTTCTTTATTTGGTTTATTTTTTTGAAAATGAACATATTATTTGTTATAATAATAATAATAATAATAATAATAATAATAATTGTTGAGTTATCTTTTCTCCTAGAGAGCATATTCGCCAAGGTGGAGATTTGTTGTGTTTGTCTCATATAAGGATTAGGAATATGAGTTTGTCTCATATAAGGAATAGGAGTGAAAGAGAGATTATATGCCTATAAATATAATCAATGTATCTCATCACCTGGTACACCATCACAAATAATAAGAGAATACTTTCACTCCCGTGGATGTAGGCACATTGCCGAACCACGTAAATCTTGTCTTCTTTACTTTTCTGCCATTATTATTTTTCTTGTTCTTGTTAATTTCAACAAATTGGTATCAGAGCACTGTTGAGATGACCAGTTCAAACACAAAATTCGAGGTATCAAAATTTGATGGTACAGGGAATTTTGGGTTATGGCAATCTAGGGTAAAGGATTTGTTGGCACAACAGGGTCTTCTGAAAACTTTGAAGGCAGATAAGCCAGCTAATCTGGAAGAGGAAGATTGGGAAGATTTGAAGGAGCGTGCGGCAGGAACCATTCGGTTATGCCTAGACGATGGAATTGTGTATCACGTTATGGCCCTGGAAGCCCCAAAAGAAATTTGGGATAAATTGGAAACTCAGTTCATGGAAAAATCACTAACGAACAAACTGTATCTAAAGCAAAGGCTTTATGGGCTTAAGATGGAGGAGGGTTCAGACTTGGTGCATCATATTAATGTCTTCAACCAGATAATCTCAGATCTGGCCAGGCTTGATGTCAAGATTGAAGATGAAGACAAGGCGATGATCTTGCTATGTTCATTACCTTTTTCCTTTGAACATCTGGTGACTACTCTAACATACGGGAAAAGCACGATTAAATACAGCGAGATCTCTGCGGCCCTGCAGGCTCATAATAAGCGCTTGCAGAGTGTAGGAGATGGATCGTCTGTTGGTGAAAGTTTGTATGCTAAAGAGGGTCAGGATCGTGGAAGGAAACAAGAGAAGGGTAATTCTGGGAGGAGAAACTCTAGGTCTAAGTCCAGAAATAGCAGGAAAATCCGGTGCTACAAGTGTTATGAGATTGGGCACATAAAGAGAGATTGTCCAAAGTTGAAAAAACAACAAGAGGCGGCGAACGTGGTGCATGCTGATGACTCAGATTATAGTGAAGGTGATTTTCTAGCAGTTTCATCGAGTAAGTTGTCAGATGCTTGGATTCTAGACTCAGGATGCTCTTATCATATTACACCTAACAGGGAGTGGTTCACAACCTATAAATCAGGTACTTTCGGTTCTGTTTTTCTGGGTGATGATAGATGTCATAATATCATAGGTATTGGTGATGTTAACATCCAGATGTATGATGGTATTGTCAGAACTTTGCATGATGTCAGACATATACCGGGATTAACTAAGAACCTGATTTCTCTTGGCAGTTTGCATGCTAATGGTTTTATTCATAAGTCTGAGAGTGATAAGGAAACCATTAAAATTAGTAAGGGTGCTTTAACTGTGATGAAAGGGAAAAGGACCACAGGGAACATTTATAGGTTGTTGGGTAGTACTGTTGTAGGTGGAGCACATTCTGTTGAGTCTAGTGATGATACTACTAGGTTGTGGCATTTACGTTTGGGTCACCTTGGTGAACGTGGTTTGTCTGATTTGCACAAAAGGAATCTGTTAAAAGGAGTTAAATGTTGTAAGCTAGATTTCTGTGAGTTCTGTGTCCTTGGGAAACAGACTAGAGTCAGTTTTTCTACTGGGCAGCATAAAACTAAAGGGATTCTGGATTATGTGCATTCTGATGTTTGGGGACCTACCAGGGAACCTTCAATGGGTGGCTCTCGATATTATGTTACATTTACTGACGATTTTTCTAGGAAAGTCTGGGTGTATTTCTTGAAACATAAATCTGAAGTGTTTGAGAAATTTAAGTTGTGGAAAGCTGAGGTTGAGAACCAGACTGGAAGAAAAATCAAGTACCTGAGGTCTGACAACGGGACAGAATATACTGAGAAAGAATTTCAGAAATTCTGTGCAGAACATGGAATTCAAAGGCACTATACAGTGCGTAAGACACCACAACAGAATGGTGTTGCTGAGCGGCTGAATAGAACCATTGCTGAGAGAGCAAGGTGTCTCAGATTGAATGCTGGGCTCTCTAAGTGTTTTTGGGCAGAAGCAGTGAACATGGCATGTTACTTGATCAATAGATCACCACGAACATCACTTGGTGGCAAGGTTCCTGAGGAGGTTTGGTTAGGTAATCCTGTAAGTTTTGATCACTTACGAGTTTTTGGTTGTCCTAGCTATGTTCTTATTCCAGGTGATGAGAGATCAAAGTTAGATCCCAAGTCGAAGAAGTGCATCTTTTTGGGTTACAAGAAAGGTGTAAAAGGATATAAGTTTTGGGATCCTGCAACCAAAAAGGTGGTGATTAGTAGAGATGCAGTGTTTGATGAGAATTTCATGTTCCAGCCAAAGAAAGAAGATACACTAGTTGATGGTTCTAGCACAGTAGAAGTGGATATGGATCGTGTACCTTTGAGTGAGAAAGTAGTTAATCCACCTACGATTGAGACTCAAGAAGTTGCAGATCCTACATCTGCAGCAGGTTCGAGTTCAGAAAATTTACAAGATTACAGTTTGGCTAGAGATAGACCGAGACGCACCAATGTCAAACCACCTAGTAGGTATGGGTTTGAGGATATGGTTTCTTTTGCACTTCTTGTTTCTAATAAGGATCGAGTTACCTTTCAAGAGGCTATTTCTAGCCAGGAGAAAGATAAATGGATGGCAGGTATGATTGAGGAGATGGAGTCTTTACATCAGAATCATACTTGGGAGTTAGCTCAACTTCCTCAAGGAAAGAAGGCTATAGGGTGCAAGTGGGTCTATAGGAAGAAGCCACCAGTATCAGAAAAAGAAGGGGAAAGGTTTAAGGCTAGGTTAGTTGCGAAGGGGTTTTCTCAACAGAAGGGGATAGATTATGATGAGGTTTTCTCTCCTGTTGTTAGACATACTTCTATCAGATTAGTACTTGCTTTGGTAGCCATTTGGGATTTGCATTTGGAACAAATGGATGTGAAAACTGCTTTTTTACATGGTGATCTAGATGAGCAAATTTAGATGAAGCAACCTGAAGGGTTTGTTAAACCTGGAGGTGAGCACCTGGTTTGTCGACTCAAGAGGTCTTTGTATGGGCTGAAACAGGCTCCACGACAGTGGTACAAGCGGTTCGATGCTTACATGATTCAAATTGGGTATACACGTTGTGAGTATGATTGTTGTGTCTATGTTAAAAGCCTTGGTGATGGTTCTTTTATTTTTCTGTTACTGTATGTGGATGATATGTTGATCGCTGCTAAGAGTATGAATGATATTGCTGCATTGAAAGTTTTGTTGGGTCAGGAATTTGATATGAAAGACTTAGGAGTTGCACAGAAAATTCTTGGCATGGAAATTCACAGGGATAGAGGTGCAAGAAAGTTGTGGCTAACTCAACAGAGTTATATAGAGAAAATTCTTGACAGGTTAGTACCCCTTTGGCTAATCATTTTAAACTCTCTTCCAATCAGTGTCCCCAAACAGTTAGTGAGATTGAAAATATGGCAAAGGTTCCTTATGCTAGTGCAGTTGGCTGTTTAATGTATGCAATGGTTTGTACTCGACCTGATTTGGCTCAT